CATATCTTTGTTGAGAATAAACTCATCACTCTCAGATTCAAATACCATAGATTTTCTATTTTACCTTTCTTAGGTGTTGCCTATGGCGTCCAATGTTCCTACAACGCCGTGTCCTCAAGTCCAAAACCTCTTTGCTATCGGAATTCTAGAGACTCGTTGAATGCATCATCGGTTCCGATCCATCCGCAAAACGCCCGACTTGCCAAACATGATTCAAGCTTAAAATATTGCATTATGTTCATTTTTCATAGTGAAAACTTGATTGGATTCCAAGCCTATGGTAATATTTTGGTTAGTTTCGGTTTGAGTGACTTCATTTACCCCAAACACTTTGAGCGGATATGTGTGAATCTTTGTGAGGTATTGAGTCATGTTTCATTGAAGTTGGCAATTAATTGTGATATCTTGCTTACTTTAAATTTTCTTGGTTTTATATTTGCTTGATTGTAACTTGAATTCGGCAAATGTCATGAACTTAATTCGATTAGAAGTTTGAGGAATAAATTGAAATTTGAAGATGACAACTTATGATTTTGATATGTTAATTGAGGAATGCTTGAGGACAAGCGTTGAGGAATTTGATAAGTGCTTATTTTAGTTAATATTTTACTTTTAAATTACTTTTTAATCATTGATTTTTGTGGCTTATTTGTTCATTTTAATTCATTTTCTGTACAAGACGTAAGATTCTGGAAATTGCACAAAAATGACACAATTCTACAGATTTTTTATTTTCAGAATCAAAGCTGGCTGGAATTCGGATTTGGATTAAACTCAAGTTTAGGATAATATTTTAAACGTTATATTTTATCTTTGTATTTTAGTTTAAATAGGTTTTAGTATTTTAATTAAGTTTTAGGATATTATTTTTATATTTTATATTTGTTTTAGGTATTTTAGTTTAAATAGGTTTTAGTATTTTAATTAGGATTTAGAATATTATATTATTCTTTTAGGTATTTTATTTTAAATAGTTTTAAGTGTTTTAATTAGGATTTAAGATGTTTTAGCTTATTTTTAGGAATTTGAAGGCTATAAATACCCTCTAAGTGTGAGCCTAGAAATATATTTCTCTCATCTAAGAATAAAATCTTCTTTTTCTCTCTAGTTTTCTCTCTATTTTTCGCGTACTTTCAATTATGCTAAGTATGAGTTTGGTCATGCTTAGCTAATTTTCTTTCAAGCCGAAGACTAAAGCGAAGGATCAATTCCAAACGTGAGAATTGTAAGGTACTTAAATCGTTTCGGATTTTCTCTCTGTTTTCTGAGCTTACTTTTTAAATCAAAATGATTTCGACATTGGTTCGGATATTGTTATGGTTAACGTTTGAAGAATGATTTGCTTATTGAAGCATATTCAACTTCCCAAGAACACACTTAGCAAAATTGTTTGCTAAGAGGAAACTGAGATCGGAATCAGTTGTTATTAAAACGACACAATCCGAGTTGGCAGCAAAGAATTGTTCTTGCAGTAACCGACGTGAATCTTGAAGTAAAAAATTAGTTTCGATGATCTGAGGAATTTGAGACGAAACTGAAGTCTGACACTGCTTTCACTATAAGTTTTCTTTATCTCAACCTCTTTTATTTATTTATTTATTTAATTTAATTCTTATTTTTTATTTTAAAAATAACTTTTAAAAATCTCCCTTTTATATTTATTACTATTAATATTTATTATTATATTATTATATTATTTTTTCTTTTTTATTATTTATTTTATTTTAATATATTTTTTCAACTTCATCTGGAATTCCATCTTCTTCTAAAATCAAGAAAGAGTTTTATTAAATCAGAAACACCACAGTCCCTGTGGATCGACCCTGCTTCTCTATATTACCTTTTCCTTTTTATTTATTAAGGAGCCAGGAATTAGTTTGATAACAAAACGACGGTTATCAGTGTGTGAGCTTCGAGATGCAGAATCCTCAGCCGTACCATGATGTCTACCATAGAGTAAAGAGTGAGTATACAAGTATACTCACTAAAGAAGATCAATAAACTTGATAGCTTGAGCCTTTCAGTGATATATAGTTAGTATGGTATAGTTGTTAGTGTGACACTAAGCTAGTTAGCTCAATGTTTGGAATTTATTTCCTTACGCAGATTAGGTGGAGTAGTTGAGGAGCATTCTTAGAGTGATCGAGGTCCAGACCAGAGTAGATCAGAGTACGTCTCAACATTTTGAAGGGCATGTATATTTATAAACCTTGATGTAAAGTTGAGTCGCAGATTCAATTAAGAGTTGGTATATAATTATTTTTGTATGTAAATATTTTATATTATTTGGAGATCCCCAGTGTAAAGTTTTAAACATATTTTATGGGTGTTTTTATATTATTACAATGGTCGTTTTAAAGTTAGAGAAAGTAAGAAAAATATTGGTCACCCACTTTGGTGGTTTCGTGTAGTACCCTGTTTTGGTCGACTGTGTGTCGTACTAATCTAGGGTGTTACAAAATATTAAAAATATCAATATCGATCGTGATTTTTTTGAATCTCATATTGAAAAATTTAAAAAAAAAACTTATTTGAAAATTTTAAAACTTAAAAGTACATAATACAAATATAAGAAAAATTTAGGGATATAAATTAAATTTTAATGTAAAAATATTAAGAACCTAAAATAAAAATATAATTTAAACTAATAATATATATATATATTAAAACTATCGGGTTGGGTCGAGTACCTGATTATAAAAAAATTTCGTCTTAGACCCGACACGACTACCTGAAAAAATTATGGGTCGGGTACCTGGTCCAGTCTAATATTTTTTTTAGAGAATTACCTGGTTTTTTAGGTTCGGGTCAGCAGGTTGACAGATCGGGTATTTTTTAACACCCTACTGTCACTAGTAAGGGATAATGTTATGAACAGAGGTTTTCTTTAACGACAATAATTGAATTTTATTAATAAAAATAATAGAAGCATTCAAAATTATAACTTAATTTAAATAAAAAATTAGAGATAATATCCACCAAAAAAAAAACTTATACATAAACAAAATTATTAAACTCAAAGATACAAAGAAAAATGAAACATTTCATTGAGAATGATATTCAACATCAAACGAACTCAATAACCTTCATAAAATCCATTATATCTATTGAACAAGATGTTTTACGAAATAATAAAGGAGTGGTGAGCGAACCAAACAATTTGGCAGACTTTTTGTTGCACAATTCTGATTATATTGGCAAACAACTATTTACCAAATAGGGGATCTAACAATACGTGACCACCGACAAAACAAGTAAAAAAATATCGTAAGAATCTTTATGTGAGCACGACCACAGAGGTATGCAATAAAGCATACTGAAAGCTATAAGGAATGTGCCACAGGAACAAAGCACAAAGATAAATTCTTATTTAAAAGTAAAAAAAAATCAAGAGAAAAAAGAACAATAAAAAACATAATATGAAAAAGAATAAGAAAAATAATAATCGCTAACGAACGATAATAAATATTAAAATTATAATTATCCCAATTAAACAAAAATCAAAGTTAAAAAAAGGTTAGAAACCATATGAATTGAGGTTTATGGAAGGATAACTTTCAAGCTGCAAAAATGAGACACCAGCAATCGTTAGTAAAGATCCACAAAGGATACTCTCAAAGATATTTGTAGACTGTTTTTTACGAACAATGCATCAAATAATTATCACCCGTTATGAGAACATATTACCATTATCAAAATTCCCATCTCATGCAGTTATATTTATAGTGGTGCGTATAATTTAAGGTTTATTCATATTAGCATAAAATTTAAGTAGTTGTACACATTTTTATTATTTTTATATAAGTTAATTTTAAAATAATGTAAATGTTGAATTTCATGTTCAATTAACGTGGATTATGTATAGTTTAAAATAATTTGCACGAGCCAACTTACCTCCGTTCGAGTACCAATGACTACAGCGGGGTGATTGAGCGTTCATTGTTAAATGATTGAGAGTATTTAGAAAGAATTCTACTTTGTAATCACCTTGGCTTAATAAAAAAATAATTTTAAATATATAATTATTTATTTTATTAAAATAAAAAAATATAAAGGTAAAATGATATGTCACGTATAACTATTAGAATACATTTTAAATGAATAATCATTTTATAATTTTTGCATTTGGATTAAAAATTACTTTTTCAAATATATTATTTCTAAAATTTATATATTTAACATTATTTTATAATTTTAAAAATATTTATAGTCCAAAAAACTCTTTTTTAAAAGTAATTCTAAACTAACTATAGACTAACTAAATTTCATAATTGAACTTTACTCTCACTCATTTTGCTCAGTGAACTTTAAAAGTTTTCAATTTTCTCACTAAACTTAATACATTGAGTTTTTTTGTCACTGAATTTGCAATCTCTCATATTTGCTCACTCCATCATTAAATAGTTAACGACTTTAAAAATGACACCGTTTTTAAAAAATCAAAAATTTCATCAAAACGATGTCGTTTTGCATCTATATATAATAACTCATTTTAACGTCGTTAACTATTTAATGACTGAGTCATAAAAAAACTCTAATGTATTAAGTTTAGTGAGGAAATTGAAAAGAATTAAAGTAAAGTGAGTGAAATAGGAGAGAGAGTAAAGTTCTGTTACAAAATATGTAATTTACCCTAAAATTTTCAGGTGTACCCTAACATGGAATAGAAAGAGTGTAGGGTTTTAAATCACAGTCTGAAAACGTGATAACGGTCGTGAAATAGCGGTTTCGCAGCAGTCCGAGTTATCCGCTACACCTGCAATAGCACCCGTGACGGCCACAATCACGATAAACTCGAAATGACCGAAAACGTGACCGCGACTGCGATTTGAAACCCTGATGTATTCATAAAAACAATTGTATTTTCTTCTCTAAATCAAACAAACAATAACAAACTTTATATTATTTATATAAATGATCTTCAAAAACAACCTCAAACGTGGTTTCTCCAACCTTAAAAGAACTTATATAGCTCGTGGATTTAAAATCGTTCATTTAAATCACGCGTAGTTACACATTCCATAAACGCAAAACTCGCCGGGTTGGCACCGGTGATTGCAAGCGCCGCAATTCCGTTTATCGTAGGCGATGTCGACGCACTCTCCTCGGCAACAAACCTCCCTGTACTTGCACTTCATGTTGCACGCCCCGCAGTTGTTGTCGTCCGTTGCCAAGTCCATGCACTTGTTGCCGCAGCAAGTCGAGGTGGCACTGCCTTGGACGGTGCAAACCTCGCCATTTTTCCGGCAATGCTGCACCGCTCTGGGGTTTGCAGCTTGAAGGAAACGGCTCACTCTTGTGGACGGCAATGGCGACTGATCTGCCACCGCCATTGTGATGGCAAAGGTTAGAGCTATGGTGACGACGATTATTTTTGAAAACTCCATTTCCTTCTTATGTGATTCTTGAAGGCTCTTCTTTTTAGATGAAGGAAATGAAGAAGTTGAAGGCTTGGATTTTAGGGAGCTTTGCTGGATATATATGGAGAGTTCTTGGCGAAGGAAAAGTGGGGAATTGGACGTCGGGTTTATATAAGAAAAATCAAAGGAGTTTAACTTATATTAACCCATTATTATTTGATTTAATGGGGATGAGATATTAAATATAAACATGGTCACAAAACTCTAATATTTTCTTTGAAAAAAATAAATCAAAATGAAAAAAATTACAATACTTAATTTAAGTTAATTAAATAATGAATTATAGAAAAAAATGTTTATCACATATTTCCCCAGGTTAGTTTATATAATCCCATTGAGACAGGTTTTAATAAAAATGTATCTTTGATAAACTAATGATGAGGCTAAGTTATGCTACTTATTAATAAATTAAGTTTTGACAAGTTTGGCATTGTATTTTGTATATAGATGTTTGAATTGCTAATATATTAAATAAAAATTTGTTTAATAAATAATTTATAATTGAGGGTATGATAGGTATAACCAACTTATATATTTCTTAATGAATTATATCATGAATACATTATTATAAATTAATAATTAGCTAAAAATATTTATTATAATTTTGTAGTTTAACTATCAATATTTAATCTATTATTTACAACGTTGAATTTCAAACCTCTAATTCTACTTAAGGGATTTAGTATCTCATTACACTAGATCAATCGGTTATCAATAATTATTATAACTTTTAATACGTAACATTATGTGATTTATATATATACAATTGAATTATCAGATATCAATAGACAATTGGTTAATAAATATGAATATTCAAAACTTATTATCTGTTATTGTTTCTCGTATTTCAAAATTAAGAACTATTACATAAATTAACTTAACTTGGTGATTAAAGAAACCATTGTTGTTTTTAGAGGTCACGGGTCCGAACACCAATGGCTGCAACAAAGTTATTGAGTATTAATTGTCAAATAGTTGAGAAAATTTAGAACATATTGTAATCAACTTAGCTTAATAAAAAAATTAAGAACTATTATGGTAAATAAATCAAATGAGTAGTTGACCTAAGAAAGGGGATATAGGTAAAAAAAAAAAGTGGAGGGTGGGATTTGGTGGAATTCCATAGTTTAGTTGATTAAATAAATTATGATATTGAGGAAAATAAAATAGAAAACCTAGGGATATATTAGTCCTTAAGCAACTCAGATTACTTATATAGTTCATGGATCCCAAGTTTGGTTCATAAATATTATAGGCTTTGTTTAATCAGCACTAGCCTATTTGCCTTGGGATTTATTAAACTTTGAGTGCTTTCAACTCTTTTTCTCTTCTACTTTTTAGGGATCTCGAATTAATTATTAGTATTTATAAGCACCGACGGCTAATAAACTTTTATTAAGAAAAAATATAATTGTATACAAAGTGATATTTTAAAGAATGTGATTTTTTTAATTCAATAAAAGAAATTTGGTAAACAAAAATAGTATTTAAATAATCTTTAATTTATTTTTTAAGACACTGATTAATCGAACCCTTATTGATAATTATTTTCTGCAGTGACAGTTGATACTTTTTTTAATTTGGAAATTTGGGAATGGTTTAGTAAAATTAGATGATAATTAAATAAATAATTTGGTTTTGCTGAAAAATTAAGGTTGGCTCATATATGGTAGAGCTATTGTCATATGGTGTAGTATAAAGTGAAAGGGGGCAATTTTGACCATCTGTGGCACAAAAAAGGAGACCCAATTAGGCTGCCCATTATGCAAAGCAAAGATGTGGTTCAAAATAAATAAATAATGTTTATATTATAAATAAATATTTAAAATATGTTATCTTTTTTTATCTAAATGTCTAAAATATTTTTCATGATCAAAATAAGTATTTAAAATATTTGATTATGAATTGGATTATGATTCAATCTTTTGAAGTTTATTTTTGATTTGGTCTGGGTTATGTATAAATTTATATTTTTGTTTGATATTGTTTGAAAATTTAATAAGGCTCGATGAGTATCGATGAGTACCACTAACAATGAGCACTGTTGAGTACCATTAATTTAATTTATAAAAATTTAAAATACCAAAGGGCTTAACATATAATTACAAATTAATTAAAAAATTAAAGGTAAATAACTTAAATAAGAAGAAATATTTAAGATTTTTTAATTTAGGGGTTGATATTTGATCCAGTTATTATTAAAAAAACATGGAAAATAATGTAATTAATATTTTATTTTAAACAATTTACCTTTAATTTTTTAACTAATTTATAATTATATGTTGAATCCTTTAAAATTTTAAATTTTATAAATTAAATTAATGATTCTCAACTATACTTATTGTTAATGACAGTCAGCGATGCTCATCGAACATAATATACTTATCCAATATTATATATTTTTATAAAAAAAAACCCTCTTCCTTAATTTTTATATAATTTTTAAATAGTAAGGAAGTAAATTTAGTAGGATCGATTTAAAATTTCAAATTGTAAAAAAAAAATCAATATTTGATTTAGAGTAATTAGATGGTAGCACAACCCTTAAAAAGTGCTGAGCAAAAAATAACAATAAAATATTAAAAACGTATTCAAACTATAGTATTTGATTTGTTATCACTTAAATTCAGTTTGTTATACTTTTTTATTCAAAATATATAATTAAAAACACAATTATTGGTAATAAATCAAACTTAATTTTCAATTAATTTATAATTAAATTTTATTTGCATAACATAAGAATACATTTAATAACTTAATGAGTGTAAATAACGGTAAAATAATGTACACAATTAAAAGAAAATTACAAGAATTAAACTATGGTTGAGGATCGAAACGAGAAAATCGAAAAATCAATCCGAGCCAAATTATTCGATTAAGTTTGATTTGGGTTTTTTAATTTGTGGTTTGGTTTAAAAAATAAATATACAATTCGGTTTGGTTTCGGTTTTTTCATATGGAAAACCGTTGGAACCGAATTAAAAAATAAAAGAAAATATGTATCCAAAACACATTCATTTTGAATTTATTATAAGAAAATTTTAAATAAATTAAATATTAAAACTAATAATATTTTTTACAAATTTAATTTTACATATTTACACTCTGTAAACACATCATTTTGTCCTGACTGATGTGACGTTATTTATCTTACACATTTATAATATTTATATATATATATATATATATTTTATTTGGTTACAGGTTGCAGGCCCAAAGCCCAGTTACAGCAGTGGCCCAAGGAGTAACCCGAACCAATCTCCAATTTAAACCGACCCAAGCTTCCACCAAGTCGGGTAGGGTTTCAGAACCCTAAATCCCATTTTGCTCCAACCGCTTCTCACCCATCTTCTCAGCACCGCAAGGTCCTCGCCCCTATTTTTCTAATGACGTGATGTTAGAGGACTCACCAACAAACAAGGGAACGAGTATTTTAGTTTGAGTTAAACTCTAAAAAGCGAGACTCTAAAAATAGCCAATGTCAAGGCTATAAAATAATGTAACATCACACATATGTAACACACGAAAATACAAGCAAAACCGAAAGAGAAAGCAAGGAACTTTTTGTGATTTTCGAAAGGAAAAAGTTAATAAAGAAGGTATTTTCTACCTCACTCGTCTTCTTTCGCTTTGCACGTAGCTTAATAAAGAAGGTATTTTCTACCTCACTCATCTTCAGGACTGAGATATTGCTTAGAAAGCTCCTTGGTTGACCTACAGTGATATTCTCTTCCGATGTGGGGATTCAAACACTATGACCCTACTTGGACTATGGGGAGGAGTTGGATATTCTCCGCTTTTTCACTTCGATAGTATGGGGCACGTCAGTTTGTCCCAACAATATACGGACTATCTATATAAGAATTTATGTACCATGGTGACAACTACAAGAAAACAATCAAGGAAGTAGCTAGTCATGGAAGAAAATGTTCTGAATGGATGTCGTGGTTGCCAAAGACATGCTTACTCCTAACTATTTGGAGTGGCAAAGATTAAGAAAAAACGACAACATCCTACTGCCAGATTGTGAGGACACTCAGAACATGGAGGAACATCTCAAGCCTATCCCTTCTGAGCTAGAAATAGAAAAGGAAGAATTTAAAGCTATAAAGAATGATATGAAATAGAGGGTAAGGGAACTTGAGGTTGAACGTTACCAGTGGAAGTTAGATGCCGATACTCAGAAGGATAGGGTAGACAAGCTAGAGAAAGAACAGAAGAAAGTCCTTTTTGAGCTTGAGGACTTGAGAAAAGGGTACTAAGAGCAAGTCCAAGGTAACTTCAATCTGAAAAGGACTTCTGAGTACTAGAAAGGCAAAGCTAGAAGCCTGAAGAGGAAGTCCGAAGGGCATGATGAAAGAGAGACTCTGAAAGAACAGTTAAAGACTGCTCAGAGGCGTTTGATAGATAGTCAGCATTAGAACAAGCGTCTGAGAATCCAGGTAGCTGACTTAGAGAAATCTCTTCAGAAACAGCAAGAACATGATAGTAAAGCCCTATCTGAATTAGAAGTTATTGTGGACGGATTGAAGAAACAAGCAAGCGAGCTTTAGATAGTGCCCTTTGACGGAGGGTTACAATGGCGTTTTTGTTGGGAGCAAGCTTAGGAAAGGGTGAATGCTAGAGATGCAGTCATCCGTGATTTCCTGGATCAAGTACAGAAGGCAACCCGTCACTTGGATGGTTTAGCCAGAGAAGCTAGAGTGGTTCGACAAGGCATCCAACCAGTGATAGATGAAGGAATAAGACTTGTCAACCTATTAGAAGCTATTCGGGGTCTAGAGGATTTAGTCCAGATATACCTTTAGATTATTTTTGTCTTTTAAAATATAAAACACTTCTGTTTAAATACGAATTATTTACAATAACATACACATTTTTGGATCAATGCCTCTAAATTTCATACATCATGCATATCATACTTTCCATTTTATTTTCCATGTTTTTTTTATATTTTCCATGTTTTT